GACCAGTAAGGGGATCTTAACCCTTGACTTGGTGTTGTCAGCGCCACGCTCTCCCAAGTGAGCTAACCGGCCAACCCTATATGGGATCCGAACCCGTGGCCTTGGTGTTATCAGCACCACACTCTCCCGAGTGAGCCACGGGCCGGCCCCTATTTTGTGGTTTTTAAAACACCAATTCCTATTAAAGGAACTAGGTTTCTTGGAGAAAAGTCTGATTAAGGTCCGAGGCAAGAAACATTCAGGGAAATGTATCAGAAAGCGAGGAAGCTACAAAGACCATTAACATCTTGTCAAAAGAGCTTAGAAGCCTAACTGAAGCCATTCTCATTGCCAAAAAAGAAAAAGGAAAAGGTCTGAGCATCAGTAAGAACTATAATCCGAATGAACTGAAAATCATCAAGTGTTTAAGTCATTACAATGTACTTAACTCCATTCACTTCTGGAAGATGCTGAGAAACTCATTTTTTTTTCCTTTTTGTCTATTTTCGTGACCGGTAACGAGATCGCAACCCTCAGTGTCGCGCCCGTACCGCGACCGGCAACGGGATCGCAACCCTCGGTGTTGCGCTCGCACCGCGCTCAACCAGTGAGCGGACCGGTCTCTACATGGTATCCGAACCCTCAGCGGGAGCGCCGCACTCTACCGAGTGCGCCACCGGGCCGGCCCGAAACTCATTTTTTGACTGGTTAATAAAGGGAAAGAATCAAGGAAGCATTTATGCTGCCTTTTTAAAAATAAAATTGACAACAGAGGAACTAAACAGTGAATGAGAGGAATTTCTCATTATAGAAGTATTCCCACTAATAAATGAAGAAAATATCATAGGATGAAAGCATCACCCTAATGAATTAATAGATCTAGGCAATTTCATCAATGATTGCTAATTAACATAACAAAAAGGACATTAAATAGTGGAAGTACAGTACACAATGCCATCTATGTAGTCTTGCATAAAAAAAAAAAGTAACCTAAATATGATCAAGCCTCCAGAATGATCTAACTACCCATTTACTGGAAATTCAGAGGTCAAGGATATACCAAAGCATTCCAGAAAGATACAGTTGGCAATTGTGGGAAGACCTACAGGCAAGTGACCTGATTTCTTTATAATGATATACAAGGAGAAAGAGGGCGTGGTGCTCAATGGACAAGCTTTACATTGTAACTGAACTTATTTGGGCAAAGGAAAAAAAAAAAAAAACTAAAACAGAACAAAGCAAACAAAACAAAAATGATTAGCAAATTGAGCAGCCCTCCCAACCAGAGCAGGTTCAGAGAACTCCAGCCAATAACGTGATCTGACAGCATTTATAGGAAACAGAAGTGCAGCGTAGAAACAACTTAATTGGTGACAGCTTAATTGGTTAATTGGTTTCAGAGCCTCTTGCGTTTAACTAAAGCTCAGCTGCTATAGTTAAACTCTGTTTGGTCTGATTGGCTTAATGCGGGCGCCTAGTCCAAATCAATAGCCTCCCACAAATTTCATTTAACAGGGATGTGGATGGAACCTATAGATTAAAACAAAAAACAAAAACAAAACAATAACAAAGAAAAAAACAGTTCCTTGTACCAGCCAGCTGCCAAAAACAAAAAAGGAAAAAAGACCCACAAAACCAGGAACTGTCTTTTGCAACTTCCATGAGAGCCTCATGTCAAAATCAGAAGTGTTTTTAAGAAGGAGACTTAAAAAGCATATAAACCAATTGCTACATAGACTAATAGAACATATTGGACTTTATAACTGAAAAAAAATTATATCACAATGGGGAGATCTGGACACTGAGTATCTGATGAGATTGATTGCAGTTTTGTTTTTTTTTTTCGTAAGCATGATAATGGTATTGGTTGTTTTTAAAACATATCAAAAAACTACAAATGACAACCTAAAATTATTTTTTTATTCATGTTTAAAGTTGGAGGGAGATGTTTTTTGAGAGGTACTGACACAGCTTTT